AAGGTCGCTTATGGCGTTACTAAGGTAGTTTGTGTCTTGGTTAATTCGTGTTCACATGTATGGAAGTGTAGCAGTGTTCTTTGTTCTTGTTATGTTTGTCACGTGGTTTATTATAAAGTGTAATTATACACCTAAACGTTTAGGTTTCGTTTATACGTTTATAATACTAAACTAGATTTATAGTGGATACTTGTATAAATTCTAGCTTCACAAATTTATTAATTAAATTACACTATATTAATTATAGTGTTATTACTAATTTAATTACTATCGTGGTTTATTAATAATTAATAAATTATTAATCATTATGCAAGCGGCTACTTGTATAAATTGTAGCTTCACTAAAAAGTGTAGTTTTATGTACATATATACATTCACTCCTACTTTCATGAGCAATACTGCTCTTTTATTTGCATTGCTTAACACTTGGCCAGTTTCTGAATTAAGCATGAAACATCATTATCAAATGTACTCATTTAGGAGTTATGTGGGAGATGGGAAGAAGAGAACTCAGAAAAAAATAAAAAGGTTCAGATACCCTCTCGAAAAAAATAACCAATTAAAGTAGTGTTATTTACATTACGGCCAAGTCTGTTTTATGCCTCATTCAGAAAGGTCATATTTCATTCAGATAGACAATATCACTACTTTGATAGGCTAACATTTTTGGAAGGGGGTCTGAAACTTAGCCTTTTTTCACTGTTAGGTTTTTGTTGGGGATATATTATACGGGGTTTGAAAGTGAAAATACAATTTGTGGGACCTTGTTTGGGCTAAGGAAGTTCAGACCTTTTAAAAATTCTGAAAGCTCCCTATCAGAATTTCCGTTGAAATTATAAGTCCGTTCTTCGGCGACTGTGCTTGTTTGGTCGCTAACTTGTTAGCCCGCCTTCTAGTAAATGTATTCATGTCCCTGATGTTTATATCCGGCGGGGTTCAGTCGTTGACCTCTGTCCCGGGGACCCTGAAGCTTAACGCTTGCTTGGATTCTAGTCGGAAAATCGACGACGACGACTATCGCGGAAGTAATAAATGTGAAAGAAAGAAGAAAAAAAAAGAAATACATTAGCCCGATTGTGCTCGGACAGTGTTAATCGTCGGACGACTAGACAACGGCCGAAAGAACGCCATTGTTATCGCGAATAAATCATTAGGCCCCGGCCAGGGTAGTCGGGTAGAGGATTTTCAGGGGTCGCAAACGTGCAAAAGTACGGCCGGAGACATTTTTATTTATTGCGGTGGTCTCGTGCGAGTAATTGGACAGGCTATCAGTCGAACAGGGATCGCCGTGTGCGGTCATTGTTCTTATACATGTATATATATAATAAAAATGCTAGACCGCACTTTCTCTGTGAAAATCGTGCCAACGTCGTTTGACCATATTTCCCGGACGTGGAACGGTCATTGTATCCAGGAATAAAAAAAAAAGAGAAGAAATATATAATCACACGGAGTAGGAAAAAATAATTTTTTGGCGACACACAAAGGCGCACAGGACGACAAAAGGTGTCGGTTTGAACTGTGTACCGGTTATTAGCGTTTTTTGTCTGTAGGACCGTTGGGACACAAAGACTTCGACAAGATAAAATCCAGGAAACAAAATCAATTAAAAATTTTAACCAAAAACTGTTTAGAGTTGGCCATTTCTGTGCATTGCAATAATGATGACACACGCCTATGATACTAAATTATCGGATTATTAGATTACAATCAACGCGAATCCGACACCGGGGTTAAGTGTCGTTTACAACGCAAGACTCGCATAGTCACGCTGTTTTTTCAATAAATGGCCGACGTGATAATGAACCCGAGTTAAGTGGCCCAAACTCGTTTTGCGGTTCCGGCATTAGTCGTTAACAAAAAAACAATATCGACTGTTCGGTAGTTGCTGTCATGATACACACAAAACCGCACAAGAATTTGCACAAATACTTTTTAACTTTTTTAGTGTTCAATGAAAATATTCAAAGTCATAGAACTGTTAATACTTTCTTGAATATAATATCTCATGTTTGAACGCCTTCGATGGTGTCGGTGTTAAAGAAAGATTCGTCAGGCATTGCCATAAATATCTATAGGTGATTTTAAAATTTAACGGTACCGCGTGACTTAAAATTTTTTCTTTTTTGTCAACGATTAACGATAACCATTCATCTTGCGTTTCATTAGATTGTAAATTTCATTCGTGACCTGCCGGTGTAGGCGAGTCGTTAAAGCGAAACTTAATACGGAATGCAATAGGTATGTAAAAATTGAATAGAGCGGTCGTGAGATCTACATGCATTTCTAATTTCATTAAAAAAAGTAATAACGGCGATATTTCTCAAAGTACACACTCACCGATTAATGTCTGTGAACGTACAACGGTACAAAGGCATTAGTTTTTTTAATTATATATTTATAAATATATAAATGTATATTTTTTAATCGTTTCATTAGCTATTGTGTTATATGATTACCGTGAAGCTATCTTGTAAAAATCTACTAGCTTGCCATCTAACGAGTTTTGCCCTCGAGACATAATGTTAATGCAAAACAACATAAACAAGTGTAACAAAGTTAACGGTTGTAAGCCAAAAAAATAATTTCCTATTGTTAATAAAATATTTTGTATTCGTTTATTGTTTATACGGTACGTGCAAAATGTACACAGTGTATTACATACCATTAAACGTTGTATACAACATTAAATTAATAAAGCAATAGTAGAACACGCGGATTTTATTTGTTTTTATTAGTCTGGGTCAGTGGCTCAGCTAACACAGCCCCATCCTGTGTTTCGGATGTTTGATATAAAAATCAACAAGTATAGCAATAAAGAATAAATTACACCTTTTTCAATGAAATATAAAACGCGATAAACTTATTATCTATTTAAATTACCGGAACAAAAATTGTAAAAAAAAAATTAAATACCAGAAGATTTTATTACTACATTATTAAACTGATAGTATTTAGAATGTATAAACAGATTATATATTTGAAAAGGAGACTACGTTTACGACGAAATAAATAATACATATATGTTTGTAATAAGTACAATGACGCTTAAAAATTCATTCTATGCGAATCATTTCAGCAAAAAAAAGCTAACAGACGGTAGTCAAGCCATTTATATTCTATCGGAAATGCATTTGAAATTCGAAAGTGACCTGTAAATAAACGATGCTATAAAATAACGAATTATTCAAAGTAAGACATATTCTACCCAACTATAAAGTGCTGATAAAAGATATATATTTGTTTATAAAAAATCATAAGATTCAGTAAAAAACACCCGTTTTTTATTATTGCATATTTTTCTTAAAAATAATTTTTTTTACATCGAAACACATAAATATATAAGTTTACCGTTTGAATTTTTTTATGGATTTCATTTTATGAAGTTTATTCTACGATGGGAATATCTACACACTCGGTGGGTTTATAACGATAATAATAATTAACGCATTTTCGGGTACACCAACTATGCGAATGAACAATTATTTTGCCCGTCCTTTTTGGTGCTTTTATTTTGATAAACAGCAATCATTCATAATTACGTTACACGGCCATAACGCCGTGTGTGTGTACACCTGTTGTATTAAATAATGGCGAGAAAATTAAAAAAAAAACACTATTGGCAATTGCATCGGATACAATATACATATTATGACAGTTATGTGTCACACGATGCTGTGAGAAGTCCACACACTCAAGACGTCCCCTAACGGGAGACTTGCTGTAATAATTAACCGATACGGCACACGTTGGTAATGAGAGAAGGATTTTTGGTGTTATAATAAGACGTGTTACCTGTGTGTATGTGTTACGGCTGTGCACGTACAATAAATAACAATTATTATTATTATCACTGCTATTGTTGGCAATCCGGTATTGTGTACCTCTACACGCGTTTCAATACATAATAATATTATACCTAGTTCCTCCGTTGGTTAACTAATGCGGTCGCCGCCGATTACCGCATGGCATCGACAAGATTTATTTGGTCTCAGCAATCGTGACTGTTCAGTACAATCGTTTAACTACATTAATAAATTTAATGCTAATTTCCTAATCGCAGGATTCCGGATAATGTTTACAGTTTAGTACTATATGCGTAATAGTAGTTTATAAAATTATAAAATATGTACAAAAGTATAATATTAGATATTAATAGGACTACTCGTTCGAAATTTACGTTATGCTAAATGTAATAATGTAAAAAAAAAAAAAATACAAGACCGAGAAGAGTAATTTTCACAGCATTGAGAAATTATACATGTCGCCATAAAACACCATGGTTGTAAGATGTTTACAGAGTTAACACAGTTAAAATTAAAATGAGAGTTCACTGTTATGGGAAAACCTAGTCCTGAGATTTCAATTGTTCGTCAGTTCGCATCATATTATATTTAATATATTATTTACTTTTCTTTGAAACCTTTTCATCGTTTTTCGCAAACCTATTGTTTCGAGGATGATTTTAATTTCAGTTTCACTTACACTTATCGCTAGTATGCATTTTTACTGCTATCCTAATTTTTATTTAGTGTGTTAACGGTAATCATCGAATATTACTAATGAGTAATGACTGTGAAGTGAGAAGTTGTAATAATGTACCAGACATACACATGTCTTATTTATACTTTTGAACATTTATTTTCACATTATACATGTATTTTAAACTATAACTCTTGGAGTGTATAGTAACACAGTTGGGAAAGTTAAAATGAATCTTAAAGTATATCGTTACCAAGCAATACACTTGATTACAGTTATGTATGCTGGCCTTCGTTTATTGAAACAATGTGTTTCTAATGCCATACCTCATTGTATGTGGACCATCTCGACACTTTATTTTTGTTCATGCTGTAGCCTAATGAGCTAAAGGGAAAGTGTTGACGTAAATTAGTTTTACATTTAACATTTTTGCTATTTTACTATTAAAAAAAAAAAAAAAACAATAATAACTTTTTACACTGCTAAATATCTAATATTATGGTTTATGTTTGTTTCAGACTTTTTTCACATGTTTAATCATATCGTCAACTACAAATGGCGTGATAAATTCCGGTTTAAATGATAATAAATCACCAATAAAGAGGGATGCAAGTTTAGCCGCTCCGTCAGATTCCTACGGTGCTCCGCCTCCTGGAATTTCTCAAAGTTACGGACCTCCTTTAGATACATATGGCCCTCCAAAGTCACCAAAGCCAGTGTATGGTCCTCCAAAACTAAATTACAAACCACCAAAGTTAGAATATGGACCACCGCCATCACATTCATATGGACCTCCACCTAGTGATTCATATGGAGCACCTCCAAAACCAGATTTCAGTCCGCCTCCTAGTACAGATTATGGGCCACCAAAACCAGACTATGGAGTTCCACATCCACCAAAACCAGTGTATGGACCACCTTCTGGTCCAAGCCCATCATATGGTGTACCTTCTACTTCTTATGCAAAAGGTCCACCAGGTGTCCCTTCTCCACCAACTCCACCTCATATAACGTACCACGGTTGGCAACCTATTCCCGGACTTTCTATACCCTATGGCCAATCTCCAAATAATGGTTATGGACAATCATCAATAAACACCGCTTATGGTCCACCTCAAGGAGAAGGATTAACAGACGAACATATAAATTCAATTGATACTTCATATGAAGGATTATCACCACCAGCATCATCCCATGATGTGTCTCCTCATTACTCTTCAGATAATCAAGGTCCGTCGTTAAGTAGTTTATACAAGCCACCACCACCTATCCCAGACTCCGGATATGGACCACCAAGTCCATCTAGTTCACCTTCTGACTCATATGGACCACCACCTAAGGATTCTTATGGTCCTCCTCCTAAAGATTCTTATGGTCCACCACCAAAAGATTCTTATGGTCCTCCTCCTAAAGATTCTTATGGACCACCACCAAAAGACTCTTATGGCCCTCCTTCTAAAGATTCTTATGGACCACCTCCAAAAGATTCATATAGACCACCACCTAAAGATTCATACGGACCACCATCAAAACCATCTTTCCGTCCACCACCCAAGGACTCATACGGTCCACCACCAACCGGATCGTATGGACCTCCACCAAGTGGATCATACGGGCCCCCGCCAAGTGGTTCTTATGGACCACCATCTAAACCATCTTTCCTTCCGCCATCCAAAGACTCATACGGTCCTCCACCAACCGGATCGTATGGCCCTCCACCAAGTGGATCATACGGACCTCCATCCAAAAATTCATTTAGGCCACCACCAAAAGATTCATATGGACCACCTCCTAAAGATTCTTATGGACCACCGCCTAAAGATTCTTATGGTCCTCCACCAAAAGACACATATGGACCACCGCCTAAAGATTCTTATGGACCTCCTCCTAAAGATTCTTATGGACCACCTCCTAAAGATTCTTATGGACCGCCACCTAAAGATTCATATGGTCCTCCACCAAAAGACACATATGGACCACCGCCTAAAGATTCTTATGGACCTCCTCCTAAAGATTCTTATGGACCGCCACCTAAAGATTCATATGGTCCACCACCAAAAGATTCTTATGGACCGCCATCTAAAGATTCATATGGACCACCGCCTAAAGATTCTTATGGACCTCCTCCTAAAGATTCATATGGTCCACCACCAAAAGATTCATATGGACCACCACCAAAAACTTCTCATGTGCCACCACCTAAAGAGTCATATGGACCACCACTTAAAGATTCTTATGGACCACCACCTAAGGATTCGTATGGTCCTCCTAAAGATTCCTATGGGTTTCCTAAACTTTCTTTTCGACCACCACCTAAAGAATCATACGGTCCTCCACCAAGCGGATCATATGGCCCTCCGCCAAGTGGATCCTATGGACCACCATCTAAACCGTCTTTCCGTCCACCACCTAAGGACGCTTATGGTCCTCCACCTAGCGGATCTTATGGTCCTCCTCCAAGTGGAACATATGGCCCTCCCCCTAAAGAATCTTATGGACCACCGTCGAAACCAGTTTTCCGCCCGCCACCTCCTAAGGACTCATATGGGCCTCCGCCAAAGGAATCTTATGGAACCCCACCGAAGGAATTCTACGGACCACCAAGTGTATCTTACGGTCCTCCCCCAAGTGATTCCTATGGAGCACCACCTAACCCTTCTTATTCAACACCACCAAAGGATATATCGTGTAGTGAACAAACTTCTTACAATGGTTTACCACCAGAAGGAACTTTTGGTACACCTATAGCCGGTTGTTGTGGTACACCACCTCCTGATCTTGCATCACAAAAACCTGTGGGTCATTCTTATGGTTTAACATACGGACAATCATCTGGAAGACAAACACCAAGCCCTAATCTTAACCCAAAAAGTCCAGTACACCATGGACAACCAGTACCACCTGGCTTAGTAGAATCTACACAATATAATGATTTTAAAGGACAATCATATATACCTCCTCCACTTCCAGAAATATCATCAACTGGAGTTGATGCTTATGCAGCACCTTCAGGCTCTCCATCTTACAATGGGCTTAATACCGATGTAATAATAAATAAGCCAGCAGAATATGGCCAATCAGCACCACAAATCCCAGTTGAATCTGGTAACGCCGCTCAACAATATAATCCATCATTTACACCAACTGCACCAATTGTTGGAGATTATAGTCAAGGGTTCACCGCTCCACCTCCTGAATCTTATCAGTTAACACAATCTGTAAATATTGGAGCTAAACAGCCTAATGATTATGGACAATCTAACCAACAGTATACACCACCTGTCGATCACTTTGGCGTGCCGTTGCAACAGTTTGACATTAATGAACAAATTGATGACCAAAAAAGTAATCCACAACAAAGAGATGTGGGTTCCAACTATCAGCAGTCCATAAACAATAATTACAATCAACAACCAGATGGAGTAGATGTCAATGATATAGTAAAGTCTTTGGGCTTAGAGGGGTCTTCGGTGGTAGGATCAAAATCGGTAGATTTCAACGGTATTCAAGAATACCCAGTTCAAGGAAACACCGGTAGCTATACGCTTCAAATTCAACCGGGACAGCGTGGCGGTGAAGCCGTTGCCCACGACCAAGTGCTTTCTAACGGTTTATTACAAGACATATTGTCGGCCATAGAAAATCAACAGAAGTCTGAAAACTCTTATGATAATCAGCCGCAGGGGTCGGAGATACAAGTGGAGACATTAGCTGCGAACTCTAGTGCGGTGAAACCAGAAAACTACACCAATCAGAAAAGTGACATGGCGCTGTTTTTCAACACGGGATACGGTAAGGTGTCGGCACCTAACAACGAAACGGAATCGTTGCCTCGAGACATAAACCATTTGAGCGTGAACGAGGTGTCGAACGGAAATTTTGTCTTATACAAGTCGCCAAAGGTGAATTATGTGTACGGTGACTCAACTCCCCAAGTTGTATCTCAGACATATACTCAACAATCGACTCCCAAGACTGATGAAAGCTCAACTAGCTCGTTGACGAGCGAAGGAGTGTAATAAATTAATAATGTATACTAAAGCTATTATTACTGTGTCTATATGGAATATTCTACTTTTAGTTGCGTTCAGAACAAGAATTCCAAATTGTCTATAGGTAAACGTGTCAATACTTTATGTCGATAAAGCTGTTGGCAATGTACTTTATACACGATTCACTTATCACGAGTTTGAAACAAAAACATCGTGTTAAATATTTTATTTCCAATCGTGAACTATACTTTTTTTTTTATCTAAAAGTGAGAGTATACCCAAATAATATGCATATAAGGTAAGACGGATAAAAATGTACATTATAACACAATTAAATAATATACTGGGAGTGCTGCTGGACGTGAGAAATGTATTTTCGAAAGCGTTTTTTTTTTGTTTGTTCTGAACGCAACTGATAAAAAACACATTCACAATGTAAAAATGATTTTGTTAACCAAAGAATTTGGAATGTTTGTATGATTAGAACTTTTAAAGTAACGAAGCACGCAATTGCCAATATAACGTGCCATACATGATAATTGTTGTTGTGACTACAATATTTGAAAACATTAAGAGAGAATTTAATTTAATTTTAGAACATTATTAGAACGCATTTATTTCAGCATATACTTATTCTTTTCATTTATTTAAATAGTTTTCGTTTTTGTTTTAAAATATTATTTTCAAACACGTCAAAACATTAACCTTAATAACTATAATAGTTATCTGCTTATCTCTAATACGAGTACTGCTGTGTTTATAATTTAGTTTTTTAATATTTATGTTAAACAATTGTAAATAAATAAATGTAAGAAATGTATACTATTTTATATAGATAAAACTATAAACTATGTGTTATTGATTTTTGCATACACATAAACAAATATATATCCTTGTTTCTATCAACTGGCGTGAGTTGTGTGTTGTGTAAATCATAGTTCATGGAATAGAAATCAAATACGTTGTGCTGAAGATATTTAAATTTATAGCGTTCAAATGAACGGGTATTATTAGCGTTGTTGCACACACATGTTGTCGCTGTGTACACAAACTAAGCTGGTGTCCAAACACAGCAAGAAACACAATTTACGGTATCTGCTCGCGTACCGTGTTTGTTCGGTAACAAAAATGATAAACCCTCGCTAAGTCAATGAACTGGAATATTATTATCTGCGGAGGAGTTACATATACTCTAACACTTGGATTCGTTAAAATAATTCTAGGAAGTTTTATCAGTACCGAACAAACGGGCCGAAGTTAAACCGATAGAGAAAGTCAAAGTACGACCTTTTTATACCGTTAGAACTGTTGCCAGTGTTGAGAGCACGTTATACCCATAACTTTCTAGTGTAAAAACTGAATGCGTTTTATTCGGGCCACGATGGTTTTATTAGAGCGAGAACATCAATGATAAAAATGACAATATTTCTTTTTTAGTAAAAAAGTTATCGAAATCAAGCTAAACATTTAATAAAAAAAAAGAAAATGTATTTGCCTCTTAAATGTTATTATCTTTGGGTTATGGAATAGGTGTTTTTAGTCTAAACCCACCACGGACCGAGTTAGGTTAGGTAGGACAATTCTACATTTCAATATAATATAAATCTTTTGTCAGTTATGTCTTTATAATATAGTGTAGTCTATGAAAAATTGAAAAATACTTGATTATATTTCATTATTATTATTTTTAATTTTATCAATTATTTAGCTGTATTTAGCATGTATCAGATTTGTTAATTTTTTTGATAGACCTAATTCTATATCCCATGTGTGTAATTATATTCAGGATTATATTAGAGTGGCAAACATATAATTGTTATACATTTATAATACTGTTGATTCTTATAATTATTTTTCATGACATTGTTATTAATACATATTTTAATATGTCTGAATTTCTAAGTCATAAGTATAAATAAGATTTAATAAAGGTGATATAAATAAAATGTATAAGATTATTTGTTAAAAGTATATATATATATATATTATATTCATTATATTATATCCTGTTGGTTCATGGCCGGATTTGTTATTTGGATCTAACCTCCCATAATCCAAGAAATACGTTTTTAAAATACGTATACTCAATAAAAATAATAATATAACTCAACGACTTTATAACTCAAAGTGTCTCAGCCCCGAAAAAATCTATAAATCACCAAGAAAACTGAAAAATTTGTAATTTTTACAAAAATAATCTTGAAAAATTTGTAATTTTTAATATTTTTATCTATTTTCTAAAAATATGGGGAAGGCCCCCCTTTTGACCTCTTGGACATGAAAATAATTGTCTTACATTACATAAATTGAAAGCTGGCAACCCTAGGCGAAACTGAAAAATGTACATACATCAATAGCTTTAAGTTGAGATTTTGCAAACGATTTCCAATACCGAACTAACTATCCACTAAAAACTTAAAAGTTCCAAGGTAACCTAATCGGTCGGTAACGATTAATCTCTTAGCCTATCGAAGACAGGTTTGATTTGAACACATTATTTTATTTTGTTATTAGAGATTATCGAAGAGATATAAAAATATATTATTATTATACATGGGGCATCGAACAGCATCGAGCCGCAGTAAACAATATTATGTTTCCACACGGTTGCGTTGTTGTATGCTTTATCGGTGTTCGGTTACTGGCCCAAAGTTTATACAAAGTGCATATACGGTCGATAGGTGTAGGTATTAAAATAACTAGTAGATAACCAGACTTCCACGATTAAAATGAAAAACCAAAATTTGGTAAATCACTTGCAAGCTCACACGACATGTTGTCGTTTTACCCAGACCGGTGGTTAACTTCTGTTTTGCTATTGTTCAGTCAATTTCGTTTTAGGGTAATTTTTTTCTGCACGTTTAAAACGAAAGTGTTATAGAACATTGCGCATGTTTTTTTTTTGTTGGTTTTTTAACGTTCACTTTAATCTCATCCGTTTCCGGCAGACCTGCCTGGCGATAACTCATCTCTATATATATGATATAATTTTTTTATTATGACCTACCGCGTGATCTCACGACTACTCGGCAAGAGGTTATTGAAATGATTCACGTGTCCGTTGCAACTATTATTACTATTATTATTATTACAGCTGCGGCAACGACCAACGTCAAGTATATGATTATAATTATTAATGTCGACGACTGCAATGAATGGGTTTTGAAATTCAAATGCTTTTAAACGTATTCGCAGCGTCGCAGCGCTTGTCACAGTTATTAATTTGCACATTTTACACGGCGGAAGCAAACTTTTACATGTAATAATAATGTAGCCGCTACAAAAGGGTGTAAATACCTCTATAACTATTTATTATACAATACTGTTTTGTATGGTGAACATTTCGAAAGCGGAGTACGCATATTACCTATTACTTTCTAAAAATTACAATATAATATTCCAAAAGATATAGTACGGCTGTAAAAGGACTGAGATACCGTGTACACAGCCCGATAAAAATACAATCGAAAATGTATTATTATAATGTTCATTGTACATGTTATAATATCTTTGAAATATTTTGTCATTATAAATATGTATTTATAAAAAAAAATTAGAAATATACGAACATTTTAAACATAATAATATAGACATTATATGATTCCTTAAATTATGATTGTCTGGAAAAGATATCGTCAAAGTAATAATTCCCAAAATAACGATACCCAGAAAACTCACCCCCAAATAAAATCCAGAATTTTCCAGAAAATTGGATTGAAAATTAAAATATATATATTATTGTGTAGCGGTATAGTAGTTCATTAATTATTTCGATGGAAATGTCTAAGTTCAAGAGAAAATGTATTTTCAAAAACTAAAAAAGTTTTGTTCTATAAAAACTTTTAAAAACAAGCTTGTTATAATATTATATTTTCGAGGGCGCTTTTTTTAGGGATCGATATTTCGAGGACTATTTACACAGATTACATTTTAACCTAACCTAAAAATGGACCTTCCAAATGTTAGTGGTCATCGATATTCAATAAACTGTATTTTTCAAAAGCTACTCGACCTCTACATTAAACATCATCATTGACAGCAGGGTACGTTATAAATAAATGAATATATTTTTACAATGTCAATCATATAAGAACATATTTAAATGACAATAAATACAAGAGGATGGGCATATGAGGATATTTTTGCATATTCAGATCCCAACACAAGCTTTTGAAATAAATTTGATTACATAAAACCATCTGGTTTTCTTCGAATGTTTTTTAGGAAATTAACGAAATAATTTCATTTTCAAAAAAAAAACGCTCAAGTTTTTATTGCGTTGACATATAATATATATATATATATATATATATTTACATTAGTCATATTTTTTCCCTAATTATTATTATCGTTGTCAGTATTATTATTATTATTATTTTTCCAAAGAAAAATCGTCTGCAAAGTAAAATTCGGAACACTTTGTTTTATTATTTAATTACAACGAGTATTTTCGCGCAAGTACTAAATTGCGTTAGCTGTTACGTGACGCGAAAATACAGAAGAGGCCATTTTAATAAAATTTTCAAAACGAAAACGTGGAATATTAAAGCAAACCTTGTGCTACTACAAAACAAACCAGAGTCATATAAAATGCAACGCACGCAAACAGCAATAATAAATAATAAATAAGTAAAAAAAAAAATCTGCATATTTTAATAAGACATTCATACAATATTGGACCCGGCTTGGAGTCGGATGATCTACAAAAATTAAGTTTTAATCATTATGACCGACGTTGGTGTTTATTTTTAATAATAGTAATATTAAATAAATGTATATATCTAAGGCGAAAGGTACGTCTTGCAATGATGTAATAATGATTTCTCGTCACGTTCGCCATCTATTGAATGAATATTCGAACATTTTCCACAACAAAAGATCTGAAAATTTAGTACTGAATCTACCGAAACAATTTCCCAAAGACAACGGGTCGTTTTCGATCAAACTACAAAGCGGGTGCATTATCATAGTAATAGCTTCCAAGTTCAGCGACAGTATATATGTATTGATACAAATATACGAATAGCCAAGAACGGTAATAGTCAAAACTAAAAAAAAAAAAGGTCATGTCATATGATATAGGTAATATTTTTTTTTTATAGATTGCTTTATATTGAAAATCAATATAACATAGTATAGTATATGCACTCTATTATTTATTAGCAAGCGATTACCATACAAATTTGAAATATATCATTTTTACTGTGGCCATTCCATAAGCTATTCGTCTACAATATATTATATAGTCTTGATAGATGGACATTTTTCAAGGTATTTTTGTTTTTTGTCTTTTCGGTTATCTTATGTAATAACTTTTTAAGAGTGGCTAGTTAAAAAACACTCGAGTTGATTTGCATCAGCACCGCCGAAAAGGTCACGTTAAACACAATAGGTCAAAACAAGAAGCTAATTTACTATATTTTTTTCAAAATCCTTAATAGTGTGTTTGCAATTATGTAAACATTTTCCTAATAGAATATCAACTATATATTTATTTATAATTAACAACATAGCTTTTCAAAAATACAATACACAAGCACTGAGATATTAATACTGAGGTATAAAGATCAAAGATAATTTGTTCTCTAAATCCCGATTATGTATTCTGGCACTTGAATTCTCGAATCTCGCCCACAGCAATACACCGTTGTTTGAACCGAGTCTAAATAACATGTTGGACGATTACTTTATACATATTAAAAACTAAACCAAACAAGCAATTACGTTAACAGATCGGATCGAACAATATTAACGTAATTGCCCCCTCCCCCCTCCTACTGCATTAAACCTTAAGGCTACTATCATATTATCATATAAAACGCAATAACCCAACAACAATATATAAATATATATTTAGAAGGATTCAATATTGCCAAACGGGTAAGCAACCCGCGACCAGCGAATACAAAATACTCTATAATTATTTTCGATACACGTCTAACGGAGGTCACTTATCGTTATTGTAGTCGAACTTTAAAAAAAAAAAAAAAAGGAAAACGCGTGTAAAACGTTTCATAACAGACAAAATCGACTTGTTTTTATAATAACATATATTTGTAAAATGTACATTTGAAATAATTATCATAATATGTACATGAACATGTGGAATAAGGAATTTGTCTAAAAGTTGGCATTGTATTTAAAACAAACGACCTACTTCGTACAATCATTTCACTTGGAAAGTGCTCGTACAGTCGTTTATTTATGTATATATATTTACAAAACCAATCACGTATTGCCCCTATGTATGTATATGTATTAGGCGTAAGACGTGAGTGTGCCTATGTAGTGTGTACAATTATTTACACGAAAATATAATGTCCACGAGTAGGCTAACTCGTAAAAAAAAATAAAACAATGCAAAATAATTAGTGTTCTTCTCCCTTTTAGAGTAGCCTTGTAACGGTCGATTGTTTTTTTATGATGGTGTAATATAAATAACGGCTACTCACGATACTTTCGCTTAACTTAGTGCGAAATTCTTTAAATAGAAAAAAAAATATTATGCCAACTTTTAAGACATTGTTTTGCATTGTTTTTAGCAGGTGCGACACACCAGAGCCTCCCTAGTGTGTGAAATTTTAAAAGCCCATCGATTGTCATTTTATTTGTACAGGTTTGTACAATCAATTTGAAATTTTTACACCCTCC